CCAACCAACCAACCAATAAAGGAGCGTGTGTGTGTGTGTGTGTGTGTGTGTGTGTGTGTGTGTGTGTGTGTGTTTTCCCCCGAGTGCAGGTGTCCACAGAGGCCAGAGGCTTCAGGTCCTCCAGAACTGGAATTATAGACAGTTGTGAGCCCCCAGGATGGGTGCTGGGGCCAAGCACAGGTCCTATGGGGAGCAATGTACACTCTTAACCACTGTGCCAGCTCTTCAGCCCCTCTTTCATTTGAGCATTCCACACTTAACTTCTACTTTAAATAAACACAGTCTTATTAACTAACATTTGATGGATATATAATCTTCATAACTGAAAAATTTACCACCCCAAATTTAATAGAGCTATAGTAAGAACTATTACTAAAATAAAATTCTCAGTGTTTATATACTTTTTCCAATCACATTTTCCTGTCCAAAAGTGAGAGTGTGATGTATGTATGAATGCACACTTACACACACACACACACACACACACACACACACACACACACACACACCTGAAAAAGTACAGACTTAAGAATGGCACTGAATAAAAGAAATACAGAAATTGGGTATCAACGATTCCCATGTTTCTGTATGTCATTTTGACAATTCTTTTTCACTTTAATCTACAGCACTCCTACATATATATCTCTTTGGCTATTTTTTTTTAATTCAGAACATACTATTCAACAAACCACAAATCAAAAATAGAAAAGAAAATAGGAAGGAAGGAAGAAGAGGAAACATAATACAGTCCCTGCCGTCATGATGATCAGAATATTACAAAAGATGAAACTTCTCAGGACAAGTGAAAACAAGGAATAGACATTTACACACACAACAACGAATAAGTATGTGGCAATGTTCAAAAGGAAAATGGCAGAACCCAATGGGGTGGGATTAGGAGCTATGAAGAGGTTTTGCTAAAGGGCATAATATATAGGTTGGTTGTAAAGGTGCAGAGGCAACGGCATTGCGGGTGAAATGTGTGGAGTGTATGTAACAAAGGCATGTGATGGGAACCCCTGGGCACATCTGGAATATCACCTTGAAGTGTGATCTAAGCATGTCTATATAGAGGAGCAGTTGAAAATGAAGTCAGAAAGTGAGCAAGAGCTAGATTACACGTGAATGGCGGCACTCGTAAGGGTGTCTGAAGACACCCGGTCACACGTGTGATACTGAGCTGTGTCATAGCCCACTTGCCAATTCAGCTCCCAAACACTTCTGCTTCAGTGTCACCTACATCTGCCTTTCCACCTTCTTCTTAAACAGCACCAGCACACTTCTCTTCTCATTGCTACAATATCAATAATGATAGTCTTACAGAAGCAGGTGCATGTGTGTTTTTTCAGGTACAGAGACGACTGTCAACTCTGGAGCAAGGACAGCATCCTTTGATTTAAAAACACACTGACCTTCACCTCAGTGATCAAAGCATACCCCCGACACTAAGTAATTATAAATGAAATACAGGAGACACATCTTATGGCTTATACTCTTGCTATTTTGATAGTTTAATCCCTGGTACTCCCTTGGCAAAGCTAAGTACTTTCTGCTTTAAGTCTTTTTGGTAAACTGTCAACTAGGATTTAATTAAGATGGGTATGGAAATTACAAAAGCTTCTACTCCCTCCTCTTTTATTGACACATTTCTTCCTGTGTGATACACAGGATGGAATGGAGTCAATCTGACATAGTCACGGTGGGGCATACATACAGGCCAGCTAGAGCAATCGGTCATCTCATAACCACACAAGTTGAGTTGACTTAGTCCAAGACTCTGTCTCAGAATATGCCCTAAACACAGCTAGCTTCTCATCTCCATTCTAAAGCAGATATTCTGGGCATCCAGTTAAGATACAAATCTCTTCATAGACTAACCAGTTAAAAAACAAACAAAAAACCCCTCTTTAGTACCTTCCTAAATGACATGTGCATCTTTTAACTTTCAAGCCCAGTTTTCTGCTACTTTTACCAAGTATCTACTTGTTGAGTGTTATGAAATATTCTAAATATGTGCAAGAAAGAATTAGATACCAAATCTAAAGTAAAAAACAACAACAACAACAAAACCCACTAGTAAAACCCCTGTTCTTGTGAGAACTGTAACTGTAGTAGGGAGAAGCTGGAAGTAAGCCAGGTAACGGCTACAGTTTAGAGTGGAGACATGAATCAAGAGTGGAGAATGAGGTCGGGTGGTCGAGGTGGATCTTGATGAAAAGGAGCACCTGAGCAGATAGTTGAAGAAGGAGCCAGGCTGCAAACCGCAGCACAAGGGACCCAGGATAAGAGTAAGGCTAGTTTTCAGACTGCTAGGAGACTGAGGTAGTTGGTGAAAATGGTGGGGAGGGGGAGAAGAAGGCACACAGAATACAGAGTGATCATGGAGGGCTCCACTGACCACTACAAATACTTTAATGTTAGTCTCAACAAGACAGAAAACACTTGAGACACCAGGAGCAAGGAATGGCATGAGTCATAGTTTAAAAGACCTGCTACAGCCGGGCAGTGGCGGCGCATGCCTTTAATCCCAGCACTTGGGAGGCAGAGGCAGGCGGATCTCTGAGTCTGATACCAGCCTGGTCTACAGGACAGAATCCAAAGTCACAGAGAAACCCTGTCTCAAAAAACCAAAAAAAGATCTACTACAGAGCTGGCCTCTGTGCTGAGGAGACTAGGGCGGGAAGCATGGCCACTTCTGTGGCTTGTGTAAAGTAAGGTTGGAATACAGAAAAAAGGATTTTGAAGGTAGAATCTGCAAGATATCCTGAGACATTGGCTGTGGGGTGGAAGGTTTTTGGACCAAGGAAAGACAGTGAGATAGGTGTGGCATTACCTGAATGTCTGAGGGAGAAGTCTGGAGTTGCTTCTGATATATTAGACAAATAGTATATAACGTCCGAGTGTGTGTAGAGTTCACACAGAAAGGCACCTGTCGCCTTACACAAGTCCCACATCTAGGCTTACACACCTCTCAATCCTCCTTGTGTCTTTATGACAGGCCATGCATTCATTCCACCCTCATTGTTTTTCCCTTAGTCAAAATCTCAGTCTTCAAAACTGATGTCATCTACTCTGTGACACACATGATCAGCACTATCTGAATCACTCTGCTTCTTCGGTCCCTTAAGGCTAAAATATGAGTACTTAGCTATATGGCATTTTTGTTGTTGTTGTTGTTTTTCAAGACAGGGTTTCTCTGTATTGTTTTGGAGGCTGTCCTGGAACTCTGTAGACCAGGCTGGCCTCACAGAGATCCACCTGCCTCTGCCTCCCAAGTGCTGGGATTAAAGGCGTGTGCCACCAACGCCCGGCTTTGTATGGCATTATTTTTAAAGGTACATAATTTTCATTTTGGTAAAAACAAGGCAGACGTAGCAGGTGGCCTGGCTGCTCTCATCCTCAGATAAGTCCTTTAAGGAAAATTAAGACCATAAAAAGAGATCTCAACAAGTAGCCCAACACCTAATTTTGTACTTTTCAACATTTGTAGTTATCTGAAGATCATTTTTTAAAAGACTTACAGGCTGCAAACAAACATTGAAATATCTTTTGACAGTCTTACAAAGCTAATTTTCATTTTGACTGTCATTTTTTTACTCGTCCTGGGGAGGCATTTAAAACAGGGGGATGATTAGACAAAAGAACAAAACCACATCTAGCTTTTTGAGCCATTCCCAGGAAACAGCATCTAATGCAATCAAGAAGGAGGGGGGCACGTTATACTTCAATGTGATATTAGAGATGCTAAGTTCAGCTACAGTCTCCTAGGTAAGAATGCTGGATAGCCAGTACTGGTTGGTTACAACCAGCCTATGGCGAAGTTGCTGAGCAAGTGTCTATCACATGCACAACTTTCTCTAGTACCTAAAATATACCTACAAGATAGTACAGAATGAATGGGTGGGTGGGTGGGTGGATGGATGGATGGAGCAATTCTAATCTCATGGTACTGAAATCTATCAAATACAAATCATCAAACTGGTATAAAACATTTCTTTGGGGCTTTGAAAAAAATGCTGACTCCAAGTCATTGTCTTTAAATAATTATATAATATTAATGGCAATATGAAAGTTGGTGGGCTGAAGCAAAATCTCATTAACAATACAACTTTATAAAATTCTCAATAGATCAAAAGCAAGATGATACTTTGACAACCATACCTGCTTTTTCAGGCAGTAGTCGGATATTTATTCACTATAGGAAAACTGTAAGCCTCTTAAAATAAAACAGCACAAAGACCTCTGAAACATGCCATTACAGAATCAAGATTCATGGGTAGGGGAGGATGGCTTCCTTGGAAACCCATCTACCAAGTATGAGGACTTGAGTTTGCTCTTCAGAACCCAAGCAAGTGTGCAATACTATCCTAGTGCTGGGAGGTGGAGACAGGTAAATAAATCCCCACCTGCTGGCCAGCCAGCTCATCTAAAGCAGAAGCTCCATACTGAGAGCCCTGTCTCAAAAGACAAGGTCTCTAAAACCAAACCAAATCAAACCACCACCACAAAACAGACAAACAAGAAGGTACCTGAGGACACTATTCAAGGATGACCTTTGATCTACATACCACACTCATATAAACAAATGTGCACACACATGTATAAGTGCATAGATCCAAGCTTAAGTAATATTAAGTACAACTAGGAAAACATCCTATCAACTTTGCTTTCAGAATGCATTAACACAGTAGGCTATGGTGACTCCAATAGCTGTGTTCTGACAGTTCTCTATCGACACTCTTACTACTTGCTTCTGTTTTGTTTCTGAGACAGAGAGAGTCTCACTGTGTTACCCCTGGATGGCTTGGAACTCACTATGTAGACCAGCTAGTTTCACTCACAGAGATCTGTTGGGATTAAAAGTTAGTGCCATCATGCTGAATTTGCAAATATTACAAACAGAAACCATGGTTTTCATGAAGGCAACCAACAATCTAACGTAAGTATCCTAAGCCCCAAGAAAAATATCAAGTATCAGTTTAAAGTTATAGAACACCAACCTCTTTAATTTCATGTAGTTCTCATTGGCAGCAGGTCGGCATTCCGCTCTCTGTACCACTATTCCTTCCAATGACAGTTTATCTAGAATGAAAGAGAAAACTGTATTCAGTGATAACATTCATCATTTCCAAGACGGCATTTCGATATATAGCTTAAACATAATTTACAGAATCCAAGGAAATAAAAGGATAGTATTAAGCTGATAGCAACATTATTTATCAGAATAGAGAAAGGTCATCCTTAGCCAGCTGTAAACTGGAGAATTTTTTGCTTGTTTCTTGAGCTGCACTGCCCTTTGTCAACAACAGCTTTAAACACACCTGGACTAAACAGACCTAAAAGGGCAATCAAGTAAAAAGGTGAAGGATTCCATCTGTAACACAAGTAACTTCTGGAAATACAGAAGTTCCAAAGAGCCAACTAAGAAAATACTGTGAAACTGGGCAACTCCTTATCTAGGCTATATTGTATACTCTGAATCTGAAATGATAAAGGGTGTGTCAACATGAATCTGTAAGCTGAGGAATGCATAGCGCTGAGAGGGAAGATAGGGGATTACATATTTTGGGCCAGCCTGGGTTACACAGCAAGACAAGTAAACAGTAAAGCTACTATAAATATCTGTCTAAACAGAAATACAGTTTTCTTCCTTCTAGTGACCCTGATTTAAAACCAGGAGAAACAGAAAAAGGAAATAAAAGCCTGGACCTTGCAAGTCCACTGGCAGAGTGACAGAGTGAAGTTGGTGGATCTGGTCTACTACGTAAGAGGCATATGAATGCCTCTCATGGACAGCAGCTTTATAAAAACCTGAAAATCTAACACTGGTTAGAAACAGCCACTGGTCAATCATTTCCAAGAGAATTCACCTGAGCTCTGAGAAGAGACTAAGAAAATCCTGTGACTGAAGAGGATTGCACCGATTCATCTCTTCATTCCACTAATGTAAATGACTACTATGCAAAGGCACCATGTGCGCACTGCAGAATCAAAGATGATTAAGATACAGCACTGTCTTCAAGCAGCACGTTTGACACACCAAATAAAACGCACTCACACAGAACCCCATCTACACAACTCACCCAAGAAAAGGCTTCTAGTGATTTTCCTAGATTTTTATATGGCCTGTGGTCCTAAATACTAATTATGAAACACACCATCTGAACTAAATATTTCCAGAGTACCTCAATACAGTAGCTAAGAGGTGCCTGGAAAGCACAATGACAAGACCCACATCTAGTGCATATTTCAGTGTGCCAGGAAATCAGTACTGTACAAGCCACCATTCTTTACACTCTAACCCTGAAAATAAGTTCCTGTCATGAGTGAAGTTGGTAAGACTAAACTTAGAATTTTCTCAAAGCAACCACAAATCTTATGTCCCAGATGGTCTCTCTGGTGAAACTGAGAGTACTAAACAAGAACATGCTCCAGTCTCACAATAATAAAATCTGGAAAATTCGGATGTATTTTGTTCCTAAGTGTATGAGGAAATGTCCAAACCTAGACAGTAAAAGAGGCTTGTCTAAAACAAAGTGAGTCTAGGATAGAATCCTGATAGTAAGTCAATCACAAGCCCAAGTATTTATTAATGTTGAATGCTAAAATGGCTACCTTTAATATCATTTGTTAATGCTCCCCCACCTATTTAAGGGTTCTGCTGTTAACTTTCTCCACATATGTAACTGAAAGGGTGGGAAGTAGTTTAACGCCCCTGCTCATTTCAACTTGACACTACAGTCTATTCTTCAGTCAAGGCTATTCACACAGATCAATTAACATTCACTCCCTCAGACCATACTTTTCTGTTTACCACCCTTTCAGACCTAAAACTGTTTTCAAATACTACTCAAGTTCAAGGGAAGGTCTTAAACCATTAGCAATGAATTCTTCCATCAACTGGCTGGTGTTACTCTCGCTCTTAAATTTAAAAGGCCATCTTCCTTTGGTTTAGGCACCCCCTAACATGATCTGCCTGTTCTCTGTTTAAAGCTAACTCTACTTCTCAAAAGTCTCATGGGAACATGCTCTTGTATTTTCCCAATGAACCATGCATCATTTCTTCAACACATTACTTATAGTTCAAGGGAAAGGTATTAAACATGAAAATCTAGCTCAAAGCACTCACTTGCACACCATTGCTGGTAATTACAAACAAATTAATTTAAAAATACCTCAATACAGGAATCCGTATTTAAAACTACCCTTTGGACCAATTTGAAAGAATGTGAATATCTGAAAAATAACCATTTTTACTATTTTACATTTATTACATATTTATCAAGTGCCTATTGCATAAAGACACCATGCAAAGCACATTAGAAACAGCAGGGATAAAGGAAGCATGCCTCTGTGGTCAGGGACAGCAGAGATGACTGTAGCCATTCTCAAATGTTTGTTCTGTGCTATATGTTTTGAATGATTTCAGAAAGACACACACCCCAAAATAACACACAACATACCAAAACCAAATTATGTTTATTTGTGAATTTACAAAAAACTTCAAAATTCAATATATTTACATTGCCCTGTGCTTTGCTTGTAAGACAAGGTCTCTCTATGTAATAGCCATGACTGACCTAAAATTTTTGCAGAGATCCACCTGTTTCTGTCTTCCAAGTTTTGGCAAGTAAAGGCCTGCGCTACCACACCCAAAATAATTTTCTTTAATTTAAATTAAATTGAATTCCTATTTATGTATATTTGCAAGTGTCTGTGTGAGTATGTGATTTGTGTGCAGGTGCCCAAAGAGGTCAGAGGTTTCAAGATTCCCTGCGGCAGGGGCTACAGGGGTGAGCCACTGGACATTGGCTGGGAACAGAACACTGGTCTTCTGGGAGAGTAACTTATAATGTGTATGAACATGCCCCATGTGTGCAAGTGCCCAGAGAGGCCAGAGGAGGGAGTTTAATGTCTTGAAGCTGGAGTTCCAGGTGGCCATGAGCACCAAATGTGGTGCTGAGATAGGAACTTGAGTCCTTTGGAAGGGCTTCAGTGCTCTTCCCCGCCAGGCCAGTACTCTAGGACCTGACTTATTTATGGATCTGTAAAACACTGGAAACAAGACATTTTTTGTGAATATGAGGGAAAAGAGCTGAGCACACAGGACTCTTCTCATATTCAGGTCTAGTAGATTGGGGAGAAGGTACACAAGCAAATTCAATATAATGGAAGCATTGGACATACCTCTTTAATTTATTCCCAGATTAACACAGGCGTTCATTTAACCACTATTAAATACAGTGACAGATGCCCACAGCTCGCCATACACTAGTGGGTAGTAGGTTAATCTCAAGCACTCCTTCATACTTCTGCTCAAACTTGTTGATGCTAGTTTAAGTAATTATGTAATTTGATTATGGATCAGATAAGTTTATTAAATTAAGAAGGGGAGTGGCACCTGCGGTTGTTTCTATGTAAGTCTTCTGTTAAAGACTTGTAAAGGTAAACTGCTTTTAAAACATACTTTCCAGTTTGTTATGAAGCTAGAGACAGAAAATAAGCATATATCTACATGGATTTGATTAGTGTTACTGCAGTATCTAAATTCTTCCTTTGTGATTGAAGGAACTGAAACTGAGGGCTTAAATTATAGGTTTAATTTCCACGAGAAAGAGAAAGCAGATGGTCAATGGACATCCACCCTCTACTCAAAGCAAAGCTTTATTTTACATTACTAAACAAGCAGCTAGACACTTCAAAGTTCTGAGATAAAGCACAGGAATACATATTAATCACATATTTTATTTGTTTTGAGACAGGACTTACCATGTAGCCCTGAAACTTGCTAATGAAATCACAGCTCATTCTACTGAGAGCCTTTTAATCACTAGTTCTCCCCTTCCCTTCCCTTTGTCAGTGTATTCTTATAAATTTTCTGTGGATGATGGGAATAAAGAACCAAACACTTTGCTGGCATGATGGCACATGCCTTTAATCCCAGTGCTCAGGGAGGTAGAGGCAGGCGGATCTCTATGAGTTCCAGGCCAGCCTGGTCTACAGAGAGAGAGAGTTCCAGGACAGCCTGGGTAGTTATACAGAAAAACCCTGACTCAAAAAACAAACAAACAAACAAACACTTAGATCTTTCCTAACATGCCCACCTCTTTGGTCAGATTGGTTTATTCATTTCTGTCCTTGTTTTATAGCCAAACGACTCTAATAAATATAAAAGGAGCAGAGAGAAAAAAATAGAGTAAGTAAAATATACCCTAAAGACAGATTTGTAGGCTGCCAGTGCCATTCTGTTGAAGAACTGGAAGGGAAGTGAATAGTTAAAGTCACCTCTAGCTTCAGCAAGTTAGACTAGTAAGTAAGCAGGAAGGGTTCGTGCTAGCCCTGGCACGTGAGCAATGAGATCAGCTAGGTTAGGAAGTCCTCAGGCATCCAGAAGTTAGCTAATTCATTTCCACAAGACTACTCGGGATCCATCTGCATGTGGACACTTCCAACTCCAGCTACAACACAGATCAGTAAGGTACTTAGTAGGACATGGAGCAGTGGACCTTGTAGACTTCTGAAGTGACTCTCACAAATCACTCCTGCGCCTACTGTCTTTGAGGAGAAATCCTTCTAACAACCATGTGCATCTAAAAGGTAAATGATTTCTAATATCCCCAATAGTTTCTTCTCTCCTCATTTAGTATATTTTTCTAGCAGTTTTCCCCCTGGGGATATCTGAGTGGAGCCACTTGGCACCTTAACAAATTAGGTAAGTGAATCCAGTATCCTCTTTTATTAAAAGATAAAAGGTAACCATCAATAATTTGTGAGTTGATATTTTGATCTTACCTAGCCTTCAGACTTTGAGATAAACATGCTTTCTTATAATACTATTCAAATCAATGTGTTGAGGATTCCCAATTGAAAAAACAAAACAAAACCCCCTAAACTGTAATTGAGAACCAGGCACAGGATCTTGAGAATGCAACTTCCTCACACATACACACTACTCTTTTTCTTCATGGAGGGGGAGGAAGAGGATGGGAGGCACAGGCAGGGACACAGACGCTGAGAGCCTGCGTGAGAGCACCTGCTGGTGACAGACTCGTGTCTAGGAGCAGAAAGTAAAGTGGTTGGTT